AGGAGCAGATACCAAATTTACTCTCCTGCCTGAAAGAACCAACCAAATAGAAAAAAAAAAAAAACGTGAGCCGGGCTCGGTGGTTCAGCCTGTAATCCCACACTTTGGGGGGCTGAGGTGAGTGGATTGCCTGAGCCCGCGGGTTCGAGACCCGCCTGGGCAACTTGGCAAGACCTCATCTCTACAATAAATCAAAAAATGAGCCGGGCATGGTAGTGCGCGCCTGTAGTTCCAGCTACTTGAAAGGCTGAGGCGGAAGGATCGCCGGATCCCAGCAGGTCGAGGCTGCGATGGCTGGGAGCGGCCGCTGCACTCCAGTCTGGGTGACAGAGTGAGACTCCAACTCAAAAAAAAAAAATCATGAAACAATGGTTTTTAACACACTGGACATCAGGCAATAAAAGACAGTGATCCCTGAGAGACAAGAAACATATGACGTAAGTAAGCCCCATGTTTGTCTGGCTTACTGCTTGAGAGAGCTTACAGGATGTATATTCCAGGTTAGGCCATGCAAACTCTGAGCTGAGTGGGCCCCTGAGCATTTGGGGCAGCCAAGGTGGCTACAGTGGTCAGGACAGAGTACTCCAGAGGAGAAAAGTACACAAAGAGCTCTGGGGATCTGCAAAGGGCCCCCCTTGAATGTTCAGTGACTAATCTAAGTGTGAGGAAACTACTTAAGGCCAAGGAAAGAACCACCTAAAACAATGGGAGAGGCCGGACGCAGTGGCTCAAGCCTGTAATCCCAGCACTTTGGGAGGCTGAGGCAAGAGGATTGCCTGAACTCAGGGGTTCGAGACCAGCCCCGGCAACTTGGCGAAGCCTCGTCTTTAAAATAATTCAAAAAATTAGCTGGGCGTGGTGGCACACGCCTGTAGTTCCAGGTGCTTGGAAGGCTGAGGCGGAAGTATTGCTGGAGCCCAGCAGGTCAACTCAGGTGGCCGTGAGTGTGCCACTGCACTCCAGTCTGGGTGACAGAGTGAGACTCCAATTCAAAAAAACAAACATAACAAAACAAAAAACAATGGGAGAGAACGGTAGCCAGTGTTCACACAGAGCCCAGTCAATGCCTGTCCTCATCAGCCAGACCGGAAAACCTCATAATGTATGGCACATTGGTCAGAGTTCTTGAAGGTCTTTCTTCAATAGAGGGGATACATTAGCCCTAATTTAGACACTGCTCAGTTCTATCTAACAACTCTCAGAAGGGACAAACTGTTTCTAAGAAATAACTGCATCCCAGAACAATGCTCAAGAATTATCTACAGAAATCCAAAATTAGCCAGCATTCAAAATGTAAAATTCACTATGTCTGGGGTCTCCAGAAAAAATTACCAGTCATGTAAAATATGACCCATAGGCCGGGTTCGGTGGCTCAGTCTGTAATCCCAGCACTTTGGGAGGCCGAGGGGAGTGAATTGCCTGAGCCCGCAGGTTCGAGACCCGCCTGGGCAACTTGGCG